ACGCCCAAACCAGTGAAAAAATAATGGGTACTGGTTTTCATAGTATTAGCTACCACTCGTGGACAAGTAAAAAAATTATAAATATTAGTGAATTATTTTTATAGTGACAAGAGTTAAAACCATGTTTCCAGAGCCACAAAAAAAGCATAGTCTTCTAAATGTGTTGCAATTAAAAACATCACTTTTATTTTCATTGGCAGGCAAGAATTCTACCACGGAACCCCCAATGCTTGACTTTTAGTTTCATTGGAATGGGCCTTAATAATTAAAACTTGGTAATAGAGAAAGTCCCCTTTCTTTCAGAAATTACAGGAATTCTATCTTATAATTCCTTAAATTATACTGATAATAATGCAAATCATTCTTATCCATAGCCTGTCTTTGGAAACTTAGCAGCAGAGGTTGAAAGAAAATCTGTTCTAGTAGCCTGGCAACAAACAGCTGGAGGAGGCATCAGAGTGATCCACTAGTCTTCCAGACATTTAATGAGAACATCCAGTAGGGCCAAGCTCTCAATCTGCTTCATACTAGGAATACTGAGTTAAAAGACACAAGTTGTCTCTTTAATGAATTTTAGATAGAGTTGAGGAGACAGATGGTAATAGACTGTAAAAAAAAAAAGAAGAAGAAGAAGGAAAGAAAGAAATGCCATAGAAAACTGGATGCAAATGATTTTTGTCCATAGAAATGAAAAGTAGCTGTGTTCAGTGGAATATAATTGATTAGTGTCCTGTGAATATTGAGTAGTTTTTGCATTTATGTATAAATTTTTGGGAATCATTTTACTGAATATAAACACGTGGTTCTTTGATTTTTCCTTTGAACAAATTATAACATCTTACTACTTCCCTCATTAACTGAGTTAAAAAAAATCTTTGACAGGTGTTCATATAAAATCCATGATTTTATCTTTAATTTAAAAAGTTTGCTTTTAACAGTAATTAATAAAAATACTATTTGCCTATTTCTTACATTTATGTTCTGCTTCCCTCCCACTCCAACTAGATTTTAGTTCTACATGGGCAGGGATCACTGTTGTTTTTGTGTTCTGATGTATTACAAGTGCCTAGAATAGTGGGTAGGTAGTCAATAAATATTTGTTAGATTGAATTGCCATGAACTAAATGCAAAGTGAGTTTGACTCAACCTCACCCAATCTGGTTTTACTGATAAAGG